GCATAAAATACTCTATATAAAAATCAAGATCGTATGTGACATAAATTTTTTTTTTAGTTTTTCAAAACTATATTTTATCTATCAATAAATGCAGTTCATAACATTTTTTAAAAAAATTGCATTTTCTAATATTAGTTGCATAGAAAAAAATCTAGTACAAAATTGTCAATGGTGTGTCAAGATGAGTTAAGTTTGGCCTAAACTTACAAAATTGTTGTATCAATTATTAATATTTAATATCATCCGTTACAAAATGTTTATATATAAGGATTTCTTTCCCTCAAGATGTTTCCTTAGGTTTTAAAAGTGTATTTATTGGATCTTTTTTTATTACAGAGTTAATTTGATCTTACAATATAATAAAAGTAAAGATTCAAAAGTAAAAAAATTTTTTAACTATTTTGTGTGAATTATTTTAAAGTATATAAAAAAATTTCGTGTTATCAAAATATTGATATACCAAACATGATAAAAAAATTATATAATAACATTATTGTATGTCGCCAATACAAAAAAACATCGGAACATCTTATATACTTTTTTAATTAGTTTATTATAGAATAGTTTAATTTTAATATAGGATATACTCTTAATATACTTGATCACAAAAAGACAAAACAACAAAAAAAGTTAAAAATATATATTTTTTTAATATGATAGTTTTTCGAAAATTCTAATTAAGAAAATTTAAAGAATTTGAAAAGAGATATTGGAAAAAAGAATCATTTATTAGAATATGATTTTATATATTTTTAATTAATTTATGAAGATAATTTGATATTAATTAAATGTTTACTTTAAATTAATATATTAATATCACATTTTTATTTTAAAAAATCAATGCAAAAATTTTAAAATCTAGAAGGACAAATATCAAAATTAAATAAAAATAAAGTATTAAAAATGAAAAAATTTTAACACCAAAAATGATATGTAGCGGTCTCTCATAGTTTGAATTTTGAGAAATTTTAAAATATTATATAAGATATAAATCTTTTCATTTTTGATAAATCTTCATACCGAAAAAGGAAGAAGTAAAAGTCAAATAATCAATCAAAGTCAATTAATTGGGCCATACTAGTAATCTATCTGGGTTACCTAAACCAGTTAAAAAATAATTGGGTGTAGTTAATAACTCTGATAAAAAACGGACCCAAAAAGGAATTTGCAGAAAGTAGCGATACAAATTTGAAAAGTTAAAAAATTCCTCTTCACTAAAACAAAAAAAAACTTCCGTTATCGATCTCTTTCTCTCTCTCTCGAAGTGTGGGCGATTCGCGTTTCCATGGTGGACACAAACCCTAGCCTTATACTGGCACTGATTATCACTCATCACTGTTGAATTGGGAATGGAATCGGAGAAAATCCTCAATCCAAGGCTTCTCTCGATTAATAGCACCGCTCGTAAATCGATGTCCGTTGA